GGGACTGCTGCGGTGAACCAGCCAAGGAAGTCCTAATCATGAGGTCCAACTTTCATGTGACAGGGATATAGCTTCGAGGCCTAGCTGTAAATACGATAGACCGAGTATGATCATGGACAGGTATGAACAAGTGATTTTGCGGGATGATGATCGAAGATGATCATGATTGGACACAATTGAATATCGTGGATATACAGCGTCTACAAAACGACACTTAAATGGGCAAGCTAGAAAAACACGGATTCAGGAGCCCTCACTCACTCTCGTTTCTGACTTCGACATTGTTCCTTGATCATAACGAGCAGCTAACGAGTTGATGGTACATCGAAACAGAGTGACCTGTCGACAGGAAACTGTGCTACGTTCCACGCTCGGCCCCTCTACAAACCTTGAAGAAGAGGGTTGGGATCATCGTCTCTCAGCGTTCAGAGCGTTATTCAGCACCTGTACACCTCATGACATCCGTTCAGTCTCCACTCCAGACAAGAAACAAGCGTGCCCTGCGAATTGAGAGGGCCTGGCTTCCCCAATGTACATGCTTGATTTCAAGTGAAGTGACAGAGGAGATTTTACAGTTGAAAAAGCTTACGATCGACAGTGTGAACGAGAACGAGAATATATGAGATGAGTTCAGATTGAACAGCATTTCATCTTGACACGGTGCGTTGCCGGCGCCGATTCGTCGTTAGACATTTTGTATTTTGAAAGCGTAAGTGAGAGATTCTGATATTGCCGAAGAAATATGGTTAGACCTTGTCTACTGAGGTCGAGAGCGTCTGGAAATGGAAGGAGCATAATTTAAAGAAACAGTCACTTTGATCTGAGATAAGCACACCGTGATGCGCTAATGCCGACGCGACAATCGAATAAGGCTGGAAGAGTACCAATATGGCTAAGGCGTAGGAAACGGGATGGCCCACACAACAAAAACAGGAAAGGAGTGATATTGAACGAAACTGAAGCTTGTCCAAGATCTATACAGCATTGTATTTCGACATCCTCGACCATGTTTCCTCTACACTTTGCCCCGTCTCATGGCCAAGATACTTAAATGCAGGAGATGAAACAGCTATATATGTAAAAGACAAGAATGAGCTGCAAATCTTCATGTCGACTATACCACACCTTTGGAATTCAGCATAACAGCTTTATCAATCGATTTTTCTCCTATCGGGGCTGGGCTGGTTTGGTAGCACCATTAGGATCGAACGGGATTGAGAATCTGAAGAGCTCACACTAGGAGAACATCACGACTATTTAACAGATTCTGCGTGTGTTCCAACCTCTGAGGAATATCTTGGTTGTTTAAAAGTCTATAAGAACGTAATTCATTATCATCGCTCTCAAACTGAATGGTGTTTCAGCAAGTGGGAACAATGTATAAGTTGAGAAGAATGCTCACCTTCCGCGAAAGCATTGGGTGATTCCTGAGATCTTCGATCCTAAGACGATATTAGGATCCCGTGAGCAACGTTAACAGGTCAGCTTACATGACGCTTTCAGTTGAGAGCAGAAATTCTGTTAATTACTCAATTCAAAACGCTCTGGCCGTCCATAAAGAGCGACTCACTAACGACCGCATAATCATTCTGAGCACATACACCGGGTCTATACGGACCAATTCCTTGTTCAGGATCCAATAGGAGGCTCCACCTTTCTATAACATGATGAACATGGTGTAAATGACCGTGTCAGTCTTAGATCAATTATGGGTACGCACCACTCTTATTTTCGAAGGCTAAATTCTTCCCACTCTCAAGAGAAACAGCTTGACCATTGCATGTAAAGAGGTATAGGGAGAGTGATTGGGGTAATTTGGGTCTAGAGGAGTCCTACGATGATCAATCAGTTTACGCTCTACGGGAATGTGTTGATCAGTGACTCTTTACATGAGTCGCTGCTGAATTGAGCGGGTTTTGGGATAGAGGAATTGCGTTGACGGAGGCGATAGCCCAAAACAAGTAAAAACACAACGATGTCGATATAACGGGAGGAGAAGAGCTCGAAAGCAGCATACTGAAGAGAAGTCGGGATGAAGTCGATGTGAGGAATACGTAGTGACGAAAGCACACGTCCAACTTTCAAGAATGGCGACCAGCGGCGGCGGCGGGTCTCCAACCTCGACAGTAGACTCAAGATCCGAGATTTACGGCAACGTTCCGGCACGCAGATTTAATTCTTGGCCCTGCATGGTCAAAATTCCTGGTCGTTCGTTCCGCCAACTTGTATATCCTACGAACGATACGATCTGACGCTTCCCTTCACTGCCGTCTATTGAACCCCCAGTTGCTTTCTATATGCTTGCTTCATCATCTACCTTTCCACCTCTACCAGCATCCGAGGGCTGCAAAGACGATGACCCTCACTATCCTTTAGGCCTCACTCAAGAAGAAAAACAATGGTCTGACCTGTACCCTTATGCCGAACGACGAGGGTATCGGTTACGCTCACGATACCGTCCTGGCTGGGTCGGTTCATGGATTAAAGATGGAATTTCGACATCGGAATTGTTGATGCGGCCAACTTGGAAGTATGAATATGAGGATGCGGAACCAGTAAGATTTCTTGCCTAGCCTTTCCGTCGAATGTCCACGCTGTTTTTCTGTAGTCTACCGGCCGGCTGACCGTCATTGACGCTATACGGATTAGCGATGGTGCCTCAGTCGCCCTCAAACTTATCTCCATGTCCCCTCACATAAATACCACGGATTCGAACGAGATAGAAATTCTGCAATATTTATCTTCACCAGCACTTGCCCGCAACCCTCGTAATCACTGTATCCAGATGATAGATTCCTTCGAAGTGTTTACGCCTGCCGAGATGAAGCAACTCAGCACCCAAGGTTTCTCCAACGCCTTTATCGCCGTGTTTCCGTATGCGAGAAAATGGAACGATATACCGTTTAGATTGGTCTGGGAGGCGTTGGAATTCGTGAGGCAAATATTACAGGTATCGCTGTTGTTACTTGCTTTGAACCCACCACTTAACTTCTTTAGGGACTGACTTTTCTCCACGAACACAACATTGCCCATCGGTAGGCATTATTCCAAGTTTATTCATCGGTTCCCAGAAAAATTTCGTTGCAGGGATATACGGTCTGAAAACCTCATGATGGATGCATCCAGTCAATGTTTTTCCAGTATCTCTCCTTTCTTTCCCTCCAGTGCTTAAACTGATTACTTTCCCTCTCCTCCGTTTCCATTAGCAGCCAATCCTTCTGATCGCATTGATACTCCTGTCCGCTACTTCCTCATCGACCTCGGCTCCAGTACCAGATTCCAGAAACGCCGCCTGGTCAACTTCCGTCATGGATGGCATAAAGGAATTCCGGAGATTTACGAGATTGATGCGGAGGGGATTCGGGTGCCTACAAAATTATACGACCCGTTCAAGGGTGATGTATTCGTACTCGGAATGATCCTAGAGGGATTTTTCGGTAAAGTAAGTGTTCACCTATTCCCATTAACTTCCACTTCCCGAGACGAGTTCCGTGACTAACATTCATTCATTCCCTCTCTCAGTCGGTCCCTTCACTTCGATCACTATTCTCATTCATGCAACACGTCTCTCCTCATCATCGACCGACCGCCTCTGAAGCCCTCTCCCTCTTTCACGAATGCACAAAACCTTTATATACCTCCCGAATGAACTTAATCATGCCTGTCACAGACCCATCAATGCTCATGGTGGAGGACACGGAACTGGATGTCTTTACGAGATTGATGGTGCAAATTGTAGCGTTTTTGTGGGGATGGGTCGATTATCTGAGATTAGTGTCTAAGGTGCTGTGGAGGGGGCATGAGTTGAGGATCGGAACGTGATCAAGGGAAGGAGCCTTTGTAGGTGCCTCTATATGCTATGTAGTCTGGAGATGGATATTACACCTGAATGATGTGAGTTCGATGTTCATGATTATTTAAACTTCATTTTCGTCCAGTTCAGGGTGTATCACGAACAAAGAGGGACCAACAAAGAAGCGGGTAGCAGTACGGCCCACGATCTCCCCCCTTCCTGATCTTCATACGTGGACGCTCATCGACAAATAATCAGTCAAGGAGTCCGAAAACGCCAGATTGATGCACCCTTCGGCGGTCTGCATAGGTCGTCAAGGTGCTGTGCGTAAACGCAAGGGCGAAGTACATGAGACGAATGGGTACAAGTTTGTTCAAAAGCAGTTTTATCACCTCTTGCTCTGCACCTTTTGCAGCGACTTCTTACCCAACGCCACAGGTTACCAGTACGAGGATTGCCGTTACACATGTCATAAGAAGTGCCATGAAGAGGTCGTCACTAAATGTATCTCAAAATCTAATACCAGAGTAAGTGCTCTCAGTGACTGTTTCTAAACAGAAATTGAAATTGCACCATTCTAGGATGACGAGGAGAAGATCAATCACGGTATCCCTCGCCGATTCGAGCCTCTCACCAACATTGGTGCAAACTGGTGTTGTCACTGTGGATACATGCTTCCGCTTGGTCGTAAGAACCGCATGTAAATGCTCGGAATGCAAACTTACCTGCCACACTAATTACTCTCTTCTGAGCAGCGTTGACACTAATTGGGGAAAAATTACTTGCTATAAAAGTTATATCCCCAGGTAGAGCTATCTCATAGCAGTAATCCTACACTATTTCCAGCCAATATAATTATAATTTGCACCCTCTACAGGTGAATTGGTACGAGCAGGAGTGGGTGTCTAATTCATTCCCACACTCGACTTTGACTTCTGCTTTGACCTCGACTTCGACTTTCACTTTGGCTTTCACTTCGACTTTCACTTCAACTTCGACTTTCACTTCGGCTTTCACTTCGACTTTCACTTCGACTTCGACTTTCACTTCGACTTCGACTTTCACTTCGACTTCGACTTTCACTTCGACTTCGACTTTCACTTCGACTTCGACTTCGACTTCGACTTTCACTTCGGCTTTCACTTCGACTTCGACTTCAACTTCGACTTTCAACTTTCTCTGTAACAGCATGACTTCAACATCCATAGCCTCAATAGCTCAGTGGTAGAGCGCTTGATATGTTGTCATATACACTATCAAAATGCCAGGGTTCAAATCCCTGTTGAGGCTGTAGTCAATTTGTTGTTGGTGAAATATTTTTGGCACTCTAATGCTCGATGTAGTCAAGTACCTTCAGTAATATGTCTCAATAGCTCAGTGGTAGAGCATTTGCAACTTTAAGTTAGAACTCAAAGTCAAAGTCGAAGTCTGGCGCTTGAGTTCGACTTTGACTTTAGGCGCCAACTTTGACTTTGAGTAAGCGCTGACTTCGACTTTGACTTTGTCACAAAGCGTCAGAGACGGAGTGACTAAGCGGAACAACGGGGTAAGCGGCAGCGCAGAACGACGGAGCAGGCGGTGGAGGCGGAGCAACTGATCGGAGCGTGGACAGACTGGTCCCAAGATAATGACAGAGAGGTCAAGATAAGGGGCCAGGTAGTGGGGGGTCTGGCTTT